TGTATGACTTTCCCTGTCAGGCCAATTCCCAAGGCACTATCCTGTTTAAAATCATTCCAAATCCATCTCAGGCCATCCTCAGCCAGACACCAGTAAGAAACACACACTTTATCACTTTACCTCCAGTATCACTTTATTAAAAGCACATTTTGTTGACATTAAACTTACTTATGAGCAGGAAAATCCCTGTACAATTACTGACATGATTCACTGATTGTTATTTTCCAGGCTGGTGTTCCAGGTTTAAAAACATGATTTCCCTCAGTACATCTGTGAATGTTTCACTTTTTGATTAATTTATTTTTTAATCTGCAATAAAACAAAGTTTATCTGTCTGTCTTCCAGGTATGTATGAGGGCAATGGTAGACTACTGCCCTCTGCAGGATTTTTCCATCCCATGTCCAGATGCAGGAATGGCATTCAGCAGAGGAGACCTTCTTCAGGTGGTTGACCAGTCAGATGGACAGTGGTGGCAAGCCAGGAAACTGCCATGTGCTACATCCTGCGCTGGTCTGATTCCCTCGGCCAGCATGCTGAAGAGGTGAGACGCACTCACATACTGTGAAGATGTGACGAACTTACAGGCCGCAGCCAGAGGAAGCGGTTAGTTTATAGATCTGACATTATGAGAGTAAGAAAACATTTATAACATAATTCTAAGTAACTTTAAAGGGCTACATCACTTTTATTCTGCACATTTAACTGATGGCAAAGCCTTAACACTGTTAGGTAAAGTTAGCTTATAATAATGTCAGAAAGAATATATCTTTGCAGTTTGGCTCCATGATTTTAGCTTAAGACTCTAATACATTGGTTGCATTTAACAATTTATTTCTCTTTCTACAGTAAACAGAGGGAACAATGGTGGTGTCAGCCTTTACAGGTTCATACCTGCATCAGACCACGTGAGGAATCATGGTTGTTATTATTAAACATGTGCTTATTTAATGGTTTATATATTATATGTACATTTATTGCAGAGTTGTTTGTAACTTGGATATTTCTCAGTAATGCCTCAAGTTTTACAAACCAGTGTGATTACATGAAGCACTTTTAATGTATTTTTTAGTCTTTAAAATATTTGAAAGATAAGTCAGTCACTACAAAAATAATTTGTTATTTTAAGTCGGTGTGTGCATAAAAGTTTTTTTTTTCTCACCTGTGTGTAAATCTCTGCCTGCTGTGACATAAAATGAGCAATGCTTTTAACGGCTGTTTATTTTTTCTGTTAACCCTGCTGCCCTTAGTGACCCTGACTGCTAACGGTGGGTGTGACATCATCCATAATAGTCATTTAATGTTGTAGTTTAGTTCATTTTATTTTTCTGAGTGTGCTTGTTTGTTAGCTTGTTTTGATGACACCTTTTTTTATTATTATTATTCAGCACTAATTACTGTTATCTGCACTAACCTGTCAGTCAATTCCTAACACAGAGAGGTGTCGCGTAGGCTAATAATAAACCACCAATAACAAAAACAAGAAACCACAGAAGACTTTTTTTTAAATCATTGAATAAAACTATAATAATTGAGGTCTCTGAGACTATTAACAGAAACAATAATCTATACTACTGGTATACAATATCTCCCAAACATCACTTGTTATGGAATATCTTGTAGTCAAAACCAGCTATCCATGCATGCATACTTATCCAGAGTCAATCACAGCTTTCATAGGATGAGAATTCTATGAGAAATCTATCCACAGGTCACCAATCTACCAAAGAGAGAAATACAACCATTCGCACACATGAATCACCAATTGAACTACAGTGTTAATTAAGCTGCTTCTGCAGCTGCTTATTTCATCTTCTGAGAAATCTCAAAGGTAGAAACAAGAGCTAAGATCATGCCAGGCTGCTCCTTTCACAGTAACTGAAGTGTGTTATGTTGTGCTACAGTCTGTCACATTAACACTTTCAACCAAACATAGTTTTTTGTGCCTTTCAGCCATACAGTATGTTGTCTTTGTTGGTGTATTTAAACCCAGCTACATGTATGTGAAAATAAGCTTTAACTAACTTTTCTGTTATTTTGTTCCAGAGGAAAATCCTGCAAATTCTGATGAGAAACATGCAATAACAGGTGAACATAATAAATACATATTCATATATATTTTAAATATTTAGTTTTTATATACGAAAGCTATGCATTATTCAACAACCCATTGAATGTCA